GAAAAACCGGTCTTTCTCATGCTGTGCAAACACACGGAGATCATCAATCTACCCGCTGGAGGGTTTCTTTTCAAAGTTGGTGAGTGTATAGTTTATAAACATAATATGACTAATTAGAAAAAAAAAGTTGCTAAAGAAATTCTACTGCGGCCTATATCTACACCGCGGCCTATATCTACAGCCAGGACTGTGGGATACCGTTCTACCGTTCTTCCAACTGAGCTGCCAGGTTCATAGGTATTATTTTTAAATTATCGGTCCCTTGATGGGAACCAATTTATTATATATGTGGTCTAGTTCTTACTCTCCTCTCTGTGGCCTAGTAGGTACTCTCCCAAGAGTAATTTTGTTGCTGTTTACGGTTTCTACTCAATAATGAAAAATATATCGTAAATCTAACGAAACTACTGGTTGAGAGAAGCTTGCTGCGGATAGGGATGGATAGCGAAAGCGTGTGTATAATGGACGCAAAACTCACGTTTATGCCTCGCTAACTAAAGACAGAAAAAACATCTAAACATGCGTGTGACAGTGACAAATTCCACCTTCACTTGTAGAGCGCGCGGAAAGTCATGCCGCTCCTGTACCGGCTTATACAACGTATTACAAAACAACCCATAAAAACTCCCATACAAATGGAGTTCATTCTGTATGGAAGGTTCAATTTTTTTTCATATTTCGACCCATGTTCCATAGGAAAAGTTGTTCAGTTTTACGAGTACCTTGACCTTCTTTCAGCTTTATTGGTTGTTTTGTAACACCCAGTATAGCCATGAAAAGTCATGTCTCAGACACTGAATGAATCGTCACAGACGCAAGAGGCCATTGATGATGATGATTACTAGTAGTTCAAGGTTATTTTTATTTAATTCCAGGTGACACAGATGAAAATGTGTACGTAGTACAAAATGGTCGAGTAAACGTTTACATCACAAACCAAGACGGCACCAGTCTGTCTTTAAAAGTTGTGCGAGCGGGAGAGAGCGTCACTTCGCTTCTCAGTTTTACAGACGTTTTGACGGTAAGTTATGTTAATTTGAAAACAAAACGCAAGTGTTCGTGTAAAAAAGTAATTTAGTATTGATATCAGCTATTTAGTCCCCATAGTTGCATTGCTTAGTTTGGGGCTAAATGGCGCCATGTGAATTGTCCAGGATATTTATTTATACTGGGTGGAATTTTACTAGTGACCAATAGCGAAAACACAGAAAGAACCGGCTGGTGATAAAAATCAACTTTCCCCAAGGAACGAAGGTATGAGTATGAAAAAAATTGGGACCTCCCATACAAAATTGCCAATCAGCTTATTACTCTAGGAGGCCCATTATTTTTTTTTCATAATTCGACCTTGAGGGAAAGTTGTTCCTTATCACCAGCTAGTTATGAGTTTTCGCTATCAGTCGCTAGTAAAATTACACCCTATATATTTTAATTTGTAATGCAAATCAATAAGCTATAAACTCTTATAACTCCTTCAAGATGTCTCAAATTGTTTCTGTTTTCAGGGCCATTCTCAACCGTACAAGACAGTGAACGCCAAAGCCTTAGAAGATTCGCAGGTTATAAAGCTGCCGATGCGAGCGTTCCAAGAAGTGTTCAAGGAATATCCGGATATCTTTGTCAGAGTTATTCAGGTTGGTATAGACATGGTATAATAAGATACTCCGCCTGGTATTCCATTCCGAGACTCGTGAACCACGTGACTAACACAAGCCTACGTCATCATGCTTGTGGACTTGGAGGAAGGCTAGGTATGGAGACGCCATACGAAGAGCTTCCCCTCTGTCACAGCCTATGCCCACTTGGGCTTATCTTACTACAAAAACCAGTTGCTGTCAGATCTTTTACTAGAACGAGTCCAGTCGCGCATGTCAAATGAGCTCCGATAAAAAGCCGAATTGTAGAGATAATAATGCCTTTAAAAATATGTAAAAATACAAATTTACAACAGAACAATATCACTTTTCATCTGAAAGTATTCCTCCAGTACAATATCACTAAATAATATATAAAATTAGCGATTGAAAATTGTACATAAGTGTTGCCAGTAAGTCGTACAAAATGTCTGATGTGGAGTTTTTTTGTAGGTGGATCTACAATAAAATAATTGTATTTTGTTCCTTTTGTTATTATTTTGTGTCGAACAATGGTGTTAATCATAGTATCGTTAATTTACAAATAAAGATTATAATATTCCACCATATAATAGGTAAAAATTAACGATCTTAGTTTATTGATGCCTTTAAAAACAGTAAATAGCTTGCTAAGTAAGATTAGAATGTTAGTTTGGGATGGTTCTACTTATTCAATGATGGTCATTTCCAGTCGATATTCAATGAAAAAACGATAATTTTAACTTGAAGTATCGAGCCACACTCAACCCAAGCTAGTGCAGTGACCCAAGTAATACAAATCGTCGATACTTTTTCTATCGCCATAGTTACAAACCTATACTATGTAAAGACGGTCTGTACCGAAAATGCAATAATATGACACAATATTGAGTAGACTGATGTAATTAATCGAAAGGTCATGTATCGATATTGTCGATTCCAACACTAGCTTGATTTGACAGCTTTACCTCTCCCCCCGCAAAAAATGGCAGAAATATTTGTATAGAGTAAAGTAGCTATGACGACTCCCCTCGGGCCGGAACGGGACGGAAGATGCTCGAAGCTTGTGGACTACCAGAACTACCCACTCTTATGATGTTTTTTGTAAATCATATCAGATACTGTTTACTAATAAATACAATTTAATTCTTGTTGTAAAGTTCAAGTTAATACACACGTAAGTCTAAATAATAAAATTATTAAGAAATATTTTGACTCATTTTTCTGTGATTGAATTTACCCCATAACGTATTTTATTGAAATAAAGTGGCAATACTAGTGACGTAGGCAAGTGTTTCTCTGGGAATGTAAGACCATGTTTTATAAGACTATGGGTATAGAATGAGCCAAATGCGAGTCGGACTCGCGCACGAAGGGTGCTGTACCATGTATAAAAATATCACAAAAAACACGTTTGTTGTATAGGAGCCCCCCTTTAATTTATAGTTTTAGTATTTGTTGTTACAATGCCAACAGAAATACGGCATCTATGAAAATTTCAACTAAACTGGTACGGTTTATGAGGTACAGCCTGGTGACAGATAGACAAACAGACAGACAGTGAAGTCTCAGTAATAGGGTTCCGTCACGGTAGTGTTATTATTTATTCTTATGGTTCCGTTTTTACTCTTTGGGAACGGCACCCTAAAAAGGGTATTTACGACAGTATAGTATACCGATAACATTTTTCATTTCCGATAGCCACAAGATGAGTTCGTTTAGCCGAAACCTATCCATGTGCATGCTTGTATTACTAGTATTTAGTTTGATATGACATTGTTGTTTACCGTGTGATGCCGGCTCAAAATAGCATTATCTCATTTCTTTCCTGTGGGTGTCGTAAAAAGGAACTAAAGGACTCAAGGGTTTCATGTGTATTGCAATTGCTATTTAGGCGAAAGCCTGACAACCTGTCCCTATAGTGATACACGAAAATTAGCTAAAACTGCCCTCAACTATTTGTCAGACGTGGCGATAACGGCCGTATTTTATTGTACGGATTTTGACGCTCTGCCTACCCCGCAAGGGATAAAGGCGTTATTTATGTCTGTATGTATGTATTTTTACTCAAAAAATTTCTCTATGTCATTTCAGATCATCATGGTCCGTCTCCAGCGAGTGACGTTCACCGCTCTTCACCAGTATCTTGGACTGAGTGCTGAGCTGGTCAATCCTGTAAGTAGTCGTTCGATAGTTTCCTTCACTAATCTATCCAATAAATTGTTTTATCTACATTCATTTCGTAATATTCGTTTTACAGAATCGAAAGTACGAACGTAATGAACTGCATTACGAATATACAGCCTTTAAAAAAACTTTCTTACTACTGGCAGCTACATAAAGTAACTCGATTTCTAGTATTAGAAAAAAAATTCAACGAATTGACCCGCGTACCAAATTGTAATCTGTTCCAATTTGACACTGGCCAACAGTAAGTCAAATGAAAAAAAAAACAAGTGGTCACCCGGGCGGGACGACACTTGAAATTATGAGGACTTATTTATTATTAAATCTTTGCTTCAAATCATTTTTCGAATTAAAATTCACCGATAAATGCTTTTTAATTTTAAAAGTTGTTCAGTTTTTATGAGCCTCCATTTTAACGTTTAGTTAAAAGTTACTTATGTACAAAAGTCGTTCAGTTGGTGGTTCAGTAGATAGGCTTGCAATCGCCATAGTGCAGTGCGGAGGTTTGAATTATTTTTCATAGTTTTTCTTGTAGAGTGTAGATAAAATAGTGTATGCAACTGCATATAATGAGGCTTTAGAATGCTCGTGTCAAACTATTATCACACTCGGCTGCGCCTCGTGTGATAAACAGACACTCACATCCTGAAGCCTCTCATTATTAGGCAGTTGCATAAACTACTATTAAACTATCGCGGTCACACATAATGACTAAAATATTAAAACGGGGTTCTTACCGCGATATATTATTTTATTATAATTTCCCTATATTATCCATCTATCTAATTAATATTAGGTATGGGTAATTTTAGAAAGTATGAATTAGAATGTGACCAGTTTTGAGTTCATCTCGTATTCTTTCTTTGTGACATACAATTTCAAATTGTATTCAGAAATTGTGATTGTCTGACACATGCTGGAAAAAAAGATAATTAATTTCTAAAAACAAAATAATAAGCAAAACAAGATTATTTAACATGAATGACATCTTAACAATACACTTCTGTTCCTAAATGTTGATTGTATTTCCTAGGGTCGCGACAAACGACGCCCGACCACAGTTTCATCGTCGCCGGGCAAGACTAAAACCACTACAGACAACAGCACCACCATGCATTCGCCACACCATCAAGCCACTGCTTCTGAACATGTGTTGGTAAGTTAATTGTTTTGTTCATTCAAAGAAATTAAAAAATGTCATGCATCGATCGGGACTCGAAACCGGGCCGGATGAGTAAACGCCCCTCCGCTCTGCCACTGAGCTATCGATGCCTGCCAAATTTCTCGATGCTCGTGTCCAAGCGATGATCTAGCTAAATCTGTAAGTTAATTTATTAACGGATTTTTGTTTTTTGTTGCTGTGTGAAATGTATGTGAGAATGTACTGCATTTTGATGTTTTCTGATGCCATATATCATATCCAATAATCGACCATGCCAGTGGTTCTTTTGTACCATATACCCACTGAGAAGGCGTGGGTTAGGGGCAAAATACTGGGGCAAATTATACTAGTGACCGATAGCGAAAACTCAGAACCGGCTGTGAAAAGGAACAACTTTCCCCAAGGAACATAGGTCGAAATACGAAGTGCTAAGCTCGCTATCGGTCACCAGTAAAATTTCACCCTATCTATATACGTAAAGTAGATGAAACAAACGTAAAGCTTTTGCTTGTGACTTGTTTTCGGTTTCAAATGCAATATTGTCTAACGTATCCTGACATACTTTGTGATATGATCGTCCTAGCTTGCCTTCAAAAGAGTCTAAAATGAAAGTATCCTAAATAGTGCCTGATGTCATGCTTTGACCTCCCCAAACTAACCCTCTCAGTGTGTTTAAACTGTGTACCCCCTTTAGGACGGCAGCCATTCGGTTTCGTCCCCCATTCACATCCAAGGGAGAAAAACCAGGCCGGACATGGTGCCTGATATCACCTCGTCTAATACGCCACAGGTACATGAATTTGTTATTTACATCGCTCTATTACATTTTTTTTCTTGTAAATAATTTTAGCTGTGTGGTAGTGGCTAAGAATACTGCCACCCCTAGTCCACACAGGATGTTTCGTAAATGGCGCCGTAGAGTTCTTGACCTCGACTGAATATCTGTCCACTAATGTCAACCGCATCGTGGCAATATCCTTCCCAAAGAGGGTTGACGTCAGGCAGGCGGCCGGTCATAAAGCATTGCCAAATATTTTTGCTTCATGATTTTGTGCTCTAACAAAATATGTTGCGCCGACCCCAAGTGGTTTGGGATAAGGGCAGTGAGATAATTTCAAATTTTATGGCTTGTAAAATCGACCCGGAACTTGTTAAATTTTGTACTTACGTACGACCTTCACAAACAATAGGATACTGAATCCACCTACGATAGCATTCCCAAAGAGAGTTGACGTCAGGCAAGCGGTCGTAAAACGAAATCAAAAAGCAACGTGACTTTGAGAACAAAACATGTTATGGTGATCCCAATGATCATGAGCTTGCTAAACTATAAATGAGAGCATAGATCCCTTTGCCCTAGTGCAAAAGTTTAGGTACGATAGTCCTTTACGAACAGATAAACTCACTAATTAATTTACACAGAATTAAACTCACTGAACTAGTAACATTTAGGTAATGTTTTATTTCGCTTTGCAGCAGCAACCAGACATACAGCAAACTTCGTCGCTCCAAAGGTCCAAAGAAGGCAACTCTTTCAAAAAGCGTAACGGAGATACAGAGAATCTTGATGAGCAGGCAAGTAACACTCGCATGATAACCGAGATAGAGCTACTATCAACAGGGATATACCTCCTATCAATCGGGATATACCTACTATCAACCGAGATATACCTATTACCAGCCATGACTTAACTATTACCAATCGGGATATACCTTTATAACCAGGATATACTTGCTATTAACAGGGATATACCTGTTATCAACCAGGATACACCTTCTATAAACCGGGATATACTTCCTATCAACAGTGATATAACTGTTATCAACCAGGATATACTTACTATCAACCAAGCAAGATATACCTACTATCAGCCAGGATATAGCAACTATCAACTGGGATATACCTCCTATCAACCTGGGCATACTTGTTATCTATCAGCCAGAATATAAATCCCGGAAGCCATATAGCTTTTGACTAAATAATCACATTTCCTTCCAGGCCCTCATTCAAATAGCAACGGAAGCTTTCGTAAAAGAGCTCGGCTTGGAAGACGACAGTCTACTCAAAGGCATGGTCCAAGTGCGAGACCTCTCCGCCGGTACTTACATCATGAAAGAGGAGAGCCACAAGGTTGGTTGCAGACTTACATCTCTTTTACTACTAACAATAGAATAAGTTATTTATTTATTTCTGCTACAAACATAGGATAAGTTGCTTATAATATGTATTTAAATATTTACTACACTCAATAAAAGCACATAAATATAGGGTTACATTTAATTAAGTACAAATCTCTGGAGGTCGTGGTCTACTCACGAAATTGAACATCTTTTGTTTAAAACTTGTTTTCGAAATATGAAAATAAAATTGAACCCCCCATACTGACACATTTTTTTAACATGTTTGTATGGGAGGTCCAAATATTTTTTCATATTTTGAAGAAAAGTTTCTAATAAAAGTTGTTCAGTTTCGTAAGTAGACCACACCCTCAAGAGATTTGTACTTAATTAAATGTAACCCCATAGGTATACTAGTCCTTTAAGCAGGTGATTGAAGGAAATAACTAGACTCTTTTGTAATTCAAGATGCATTTCACGCAAAACTACGATCGCGAGCCAGAAATAAAGCAGGTATAGCTTTGTGTGAAAATGTGTATTGTTGAATCTTAACATCTGATTCTATGCAGAAAACCTTACGAAGCTTGCAAATTTTGACAGTTGGCAATATTTTGTTCAACTGGTTCTACATTTCATAATTTTCCTATCTGTTAATCGCATCTTTCGTTCTATAAAATAAACCTCTTATTATTTTTAAATACTGTTATATAATACCGTATCCCGTGCATACTCCATGGTTTGTGATTAAACATTCTATTGAGTGCATAAAGGTCTACTTACTTTGTTTGTGTGTATTTTATTTTTCCATCTACTACGTAATGAGTTGACTTAAGGCGTTCCGTTTTCCATACAAAAGTTCAATGGAGTTATGTATGTAAAGGAGACAAGAGTCGGTTTAAAAAACTTGATGGGGAGTCCCGTAGGTATATAAGATTGTCGCAAAACACGAAAAAGAATTTTTAAATCATCAGATTTCCCCGTAAAAAGCGAGTCGCCACTTTACGAAAATAGATGGAGTTACTGCTGCAATAAATACGTATAATTTTATTGTGCAGAAAATACTGATTATCTTTTAACTATAAGTAGTTTTGCGACAAATTTACGTGTGCCTTCATCATTCAGAATAAAGTTTCTTTAAAAAGAAACTCTACAGCTCATGTGTAACCCGACTGAAGTGCAGTTTTTCGTTTGTATGACGTAACGAACCACCTTAACAGAACATGCCTAATTTCCATCACATTGAAGAATATTAATTTAGGAAAACACTTAAGGTGGTTCGTTACGTCATACAAACGAAAAACTGCACTTCAGTCGGGTTACACATGAGCTGTAGAGTTTCTTTTTAAAGAAACTTTATTCTGAATGATGAAGGCACACGTAAATTTGTCGCAAAACTACTTATAGTTAAAAGATAATCAGTATTTTCTGCACAATAAAATTATACGTATTTATTGCAGCAGTAACTCCATCTATTTTCGTAAAGTGGCGACTCGCTTTTTACGGGGAAATCTGATGATTTAAAAATTCTTTTTCGTGTTTTGCGACAATCTTATATACCTACGGGACTCCCCATCAAGTTTTTTAAACCGACTCTTGTCTCCTTTACATACATAACTCCATTGAACTTTTGTATGGAAAACGGAACGCCTTAAGACAAAGAAATTAATATTTGCAACACGGGCCTGCTATCCTGTCATCAACTGCAAATCTCTTGTGATATTTGTTACTTGTCCTTTGACACGCCAATATTTGTGTATCAATGGCAGTGGTAATGGTGGTGACGGATGGTTATTTTTTGTGTCTTCAATAGTCTTCATTATATGTTATTCAAACTTTATATTTACTTAATGTTGTTTGCAACAACCCCATTTGAATGACTAATACTTCTAACCATTAGCTATTCCATTTCTTCATCTTTGAGTGGGATACCAATTCGTCTAATGACCCGATAAACCCTGGTGTCAAAGGTTTTCAACCGCCTAATGCAAGTAGCATACCTCGGTTATTTCACTGCTTGGTATAGATCTTATCCATGAGGGTTTTTTACATACCCATCAATCACTCTTTGAAGGCGGGTTGGCATGGAGCATGATTTCGCATTCATATGAAACGCTGTTGGCTAATCCCTATTTAGATTTACCCCTTAGTCGCGTTTCACGACATACCCCAAAAAACCCCACTTAATAGGTATATCTATAATTTTTAGCCATTTCATGTTTCATAAACCAGTATATATGTATTTCCTTATGATATTGACCGTGTGTAGTTTTGCATAATGCAGGACGTGGCCCTCGTGTACCTACTGTCCGGGGCTCTGCTCGTCTCGCAAAGGGTGGCTGAGGGCGACGGGGAGGTTCACATGTTTACTGCTTATCCAGGTGAGTTTAGATTGAGAACAATTTACGAGAAAATTGGAGAAAAACCCCCAGTAAAAATAACGTGAGTTTCTACATGCCTTCCCAAGTAAAAGGGAATTCTATCGCAACTGAGATACAGTTCAATTAAACCGAGGGTGTTACGATACCGATGCCTCGCTGATTCGTACCGTGGTCCGTATAAACGCAGTTTCATAGTTAAATTTTACTTGGATGATGTATCGATTTAGTTCAATTTTACTCGGATGGTGTTTCGATTCGCTGGACCTTTTTTTTATAGTTTTGTCTACTTAGCGATACCGTCGCTTAGACTTTCAAAAAACAGTATAATGATCGATGAGATCATGATCAAATTAAAATTTAAGCATACAATCGTGTACGAGCGAATTTTACGGTACAACTGTTCGAATATGCCATTTTTTCTTTGTTGACATCTTTTTTAGTATGGGTTTGACAGCTGTTAAGTATGGCCCATTCGGACAGGCGTACTTTAGGCTTTTACTTACTTGGTTGGTGTGCATGAAAAGGAAATTACTAAAATTGATGATTTCTCTCAACAGGTGAAGTGGAAGGCGGTCTGGCAGTGCTAACAGGAGAACCCAGTTTCTTCTCCATAC